ACCACGGAACGTGGCTCTGTGGCCAGACCCACGTGGAACTGACTCTGAGCCTTGGGCCCTGCCTGCCACGCGAGTCCCTGTGCTCCAGCAGCCAACTGGACTCACTCTGTCACGGCTGGTGTGTGGCCGTCAGAAGCGCCACGGGAAACTGTCCCCCTGCGTTTACCACAACCACCGTCAGTCCTCAGGGCCGATTTCCCACTTTTCAATTCCCCCGGCGCACCCCACCCCTCCGCCCGAACCAGTCTTCCCCCGACATAGGCACTGCCATCGGTGGGGACGGCAGGTCCACCAGCACCGTGGACAGCTGTGGCCGTGGCCGTGGCCGTGGCCGGGGACCGATGCTGTACTTTCAATGACGAGGTGCTAACAGGTCCGATGGCAAAGGCATCGTGCCTGTCTGTGCTCGGAGGCGTGTCCCCGCGCTTGGCGGAACCCCTGCGTCCCTGCTTGTGGCAGGTCAGCGCTCACTGCGTCTCGCAGGACGGAGCGGGCTGTTCACGTGTGAAGTGAGACAGCTCGGCGCTGCCATCGGACACTGCCCCCCGGGAGGAGCCGGCCGCCCGGCCCCGCCCAGTGGTCTCCTTCAATCCCCATAGTCCCCTAAGGTCCACGGGCCACGGTGACCCTATTGTGCCGACAGGGACACCGGGCGCAGACGTGAGGAGAGAACAGGGAGGACCAAGGCCACGTGACAGCCAGACGGGAGGCCAGCGCTGCACCGACAGCGTCAGAGGTCTATGAACAAATGGGTGATCTGAGCTCACAGGCACGGAGAGTGGGCTGGGGTGCCGGTGGGCGTGGGCGGGGGACGGGGAGGCTGGAAACAGGTGGGCTCCCGGCGGGGAGGGGAGGAAGGCCTGGGCCTGAGGTCCAGCTGCGATGCCGCTGCAGACCTGTGCTGGGTGTGGGACGGCCGAGAGCCGAACGTCCACGTTCTCTCGGAAGGAAAGGACGGGGGTGGAGGGAGTTACCGACCGGGAATCTACTACGTTAAATATCACACACTTTTCGTCAATTACTCCTCAATAAAGCGGAAAAATAAACTTGGTGAATTGTGTATCAGTGGAAGGGGGGGAAAGGGGAAGGGAGAGAAGCGGGGTCACACCGTCAGGTGCCCTGCGGACCTGGCACCGGTGCAAAGGTCAGCGCGAACCCTGACGCCCAGGCTCCTGGGGAGGAGGGTGCTCCAGGCTTTCCTGTCACAGGTTGGACGTAGCATCCTGTTTCCACGTTTTGTTTTGTGGGTGACCTTTGCCTGGAGGAGCCCTGTGGGGTGTGAGGCCAGAGGCCGGCCTCCGGGCTGCTGCCCCTGCCCAGCGGCCGGGCCTCCAGAGTGGCTCAGAGAGGAAAGCAGGGGCCCCGCAGAGGCCGCGAGCGTCCGCACTCCTCCCCGGCCCCCGACCCACACTCAGCGCCTTCGCCGCTCCTGCGAGACCTGCGTGGCCTGTGCCGGGAGTGAGGAAGGGGTGGCACGGCCGGCCTGGCTCCAGGCTGAGCATTGACCTATGAACCAGGAGGTCACGGTTCGACCCCCAGGGTGGGGCCTGCAGGAGGCAGCTGATCAATGATACTCCCTCGCCATTGATGTTTCCATCCCCCACTCCTTTCCTCTCTTAAGTCAGTAATAAATGTATTTTTAAAAGGGGGGATAAACCAGGATCCAGCTTGGAGGATGTTCAGTTTCAGGACAAAAGGGCGAGCAGTGCTCAGCCTGTCTCACGCCTGCCCCAGACGTGTCCCCAAAGACAGCGTGTGGGCACCCGTCATCGTTCAAGGAAAGGCGGCTCTCTATCATGGCACATGGAAACAGAGTCACGCTTTCCAGACACGCGTGTTTACAGACCAGGGATCTACTGCCGGAATTCTGGGCCAGAGAAAGAATTCCATTCTAAGCCAGTTTTAAATGCAGGATTCTCCTCGTTCCTCCAGGCTGATCAGAGACGCAGAGCTGGAGGAAGATCCTCTTCCGGGGCAGGGCGGCGCCTGCAGGCTGCGCTCACCCTCAGGCTGCTTCCCGTCAGGGACAGCAGGCCGCCCGGCCTCTCTCGTCCCTGGCCAAACCAGGCGCGTGTTTCCATCTGCGCTTCAGAGACGCCGAGCAGCAGCAGCAAATTTCCCAACTGGACTGGCCAAACCCTGATGGAGGGAAACTCCACATGTGTCCATTCAGAGGGGAAGGGCCTAACGCAAAACCTTTTTTAGGAATCTGAACACGAGTCCCATTTTATACTCTGTGTGTGTGTGCATGCGTGCGTGTGTGTGTGTGTGTGTGTGTGCACATATGTGTGTGCATGTGTGCCTGTGTCAGAAACGTGCTGTTGTGAGTTCTGTGGAGAACAAGGCGGGCACTGATGGCGTATGGGAGCGATCCAGGGTGGGCCCAGAGCTGCGTACACTCCCTGCTCGTGGTCAGCTCACACTCCTCGTGGCCAGGGGAGGGCCAGCAAAGAGCAGACCCAGGAAGCCTTGCTGCCCAGGTGCTGGCCAGTGCACACAGCGTCCCTGCCCCCCACACCGAGGAGTGAAGTCAATATCATGTAACCTTGCCATGGGCTGAATGGCCACGGTCTGACTACCTGAAAGTTAATAAAAGCAGCCTCCTCATGTTTATATTAGAAACCAGAGGCCCGGTGCATGAATCGTGCACGGATGGGGTCCCTCTGCCTGGCTGGCAATCAAGCTGATAAGGGCTGACTTGTTGGGGTGGAGGGACTGTGGGAGGTTGGCTATGGGAGTGCACTGACCACCAGGGGGCAGCTCCTGCATTGTGTGTCTGCCCCCTGGTGGTCAGTGCACGTCATAGTGACTGGTCGACTGGTTGGTTGGTCATTTTGGCTTTCATTATATAGATAGGAAAGGATTTTGGAATAAAATGTCCAGGACTGAAATATCAAAGTGGGTAAGCATTAGAAAGGGAAGAGGATTCCAGAAAAAGAAGGGTTTTCGACACAGCAACTAACGCCAGGCTGTGCCAGTGACTCGGGCATCCAGGACACGGTCCCACATTTTAATTGTTAACTTCTCTCACTCTAAAGCATTACCACAACACAAACTCAGCCTGAAGCCATTTGTCAGGGTTCCCTACAGCATCGTCTTCAACTGAGCCCACTGGACTCAGGACAAGGAGAGACTCTTCGTCTCTAACGGCCATCTATGAATCTCCACATTCGACAGGCATTTTGTGAGAAGTCAGCAGCCCTTCATGGGATGTCACAGCACTGGCGCCTGGGAACTGGGGTCCAGAACCCGGGCCGTGGCGTCCATTCCCACGTGGCGTGAGCACACACGCCCAGGCCTGCAGCCGTCGTGTCTGTCGGCTGAGCCCTGTGCCCAGTGTCCCTGCAGCCTCTGGAGCAGCTCCTCCAGCTGTGGCCCCGGGCAGCGTCCGCACCGCCGGGCGCTGAGGAAGGAGCCTCCGGCCCGCCCAGCCCGGGGCCGGGAACACGGCCGCCCGTGACGAGGTGGGAAGCCGGGGCCCTGAGGCAAGAGGCCGAGTCGCCAGGGGAACGCTGGCGGCCCTCGTGGAGCAGGAGTCCCGTCCGGTCTCCACGCCAGGCGCACCCACCACAGAACCCACGGCCCCGGCCCACGGCACCATTCAACATGCTTCTCCGTCTGATAAGGGTTTCAGAGCTGCCGTGTCCTCCACAGACGTGGAAACTGACGTGGACTGAACTGCAGCACGGGGCTTCGGGGGGATGGGGTTGTTTAAAACAGTCTGACATCGCAGAGGCGGACAGACAGCGTCTGGGTGTCATGATTCCAACAGGTTCCACCCTGCAATCCACACCTAAGGGACAGGGCGATTCCAACTTGTGCCCGTGAGCACTCACGGTCCAGACCCGGTGCGTGTAGCGACCAGAGCCCGCCCGCACAGCCACGACTGCACCGCACTGGAACCCAACACTGTGCCAGGCCTCACAGCGACCCGCCAGCTCGGCCGCAGAAGATGGGGAGGCGCTGGCGGCTGGTCCACAGCCCGTGGGTGGCCGTGTGACCAGGGGCTACACTCCTCGGGAACAGAGGGGACATGGCAATCACGCCGTCCCTCGGGTCTCCATAAACACGCCCGTCTCCAGGAGGAGAGCTGTGGGCGAAGCAGCGTGCCCGCCCTCCCTCCCACCGGACACGTGAACGCAGGAGCAAGGCTTGTCACGCGATGCGTTTTGTTATTCTTCCCAAATCTCCTTCGCCTCCTTTTGAGAACACGCTCTTCCTGTCCAAAGCGAGAGTCCCCGCGGGGTCCCCAGGCCGGGTTCCCGGTCCCCGTCTCCCTGGGGGTTTCCTGCGTGGCTGCAGTGCTGGGAAGTCCACCTTCTGAGATCTTTGTAATTGAAGAAGAGAAAATGCTCCCTTTTCTAGAGCAACACAGAGCTGGCAGGAAAGGCCCTATTTCACAGGCGTCGCTGCCATTCGGTGGAAAAGCACCTTCTCTTCTTTATAATGCCCTGGCTATGTGAACAGGGAGCTCGTGCTACGTCCACAAAGAAGAGAGAAAGGAACGTCACAGCTGGGTGAATAAATTATTTGGCCCAGCAATGCGGTCCCACCTCACACCTGCCTGAAGGGCTACCATCAGCACATCAACAAACGCCAAGTGCTGGCGAGGATGCGGAGAAAGGAACCCTTGTGCACTGCTGGTGGGAGTGCAGACTGGGGCAGCCGCCGTGGAGAACAGTATGGAGCTTCCTCAGAAAACTAAAAATGGAACTGCCATTTGACCAGCGATCCCACTCCTAGGAATACATCCCAAGAAACTAGAAACACCAACCAGGAAGGATATATGCACCCCTGTGTTCATAGCAGCACCGTTCACCGAAGCTAAGGTTTGTAAACAGCCCAAGTGCCCATCAGCAGGTAATTTGAAAAATGTATTTGGCCAAAACAAATAACGGAAGTGTTTATAGTAAACTTCTACCCAACATCTGGCCAAGGTGTGCAGCCAGTCCCACAGAGGGTCCTGCCCGAGGCCCTCCGTCCGCGAGGCGGCGCCGTACCTGGGACTGCGCGTTGATGTTGGCTCCTTCTTTGACCAGCACTTTGACGACCTCTGCCTGTCCCGCCAGCGAGGCGATGTGAAGAGCCGTGTTTCCCTTCTGTTTAGAAGAAACAAAACAGAAAAGGTTCGCATCCTGTGGCCGCAGAAATCAAAGTGCGACGCTGGCCCTGGTGCTGCCCTCCCTGCGGCCGGACCTGCACCCGCAGGCCGTGCCGGGGCCAGGAGCGGTCCTCAGCGGGGCCGGGCCTGGGAGCGGGACCGGCGCGTGCTGGTCGGCCCACGCCGCGTTCTGGGAGGCGGGGCCCGCTCCTCCTTCAATGAGGACCTTCATGGGAGAGTCTGTTCTGGGTCTAACACGCTACGACTGCCCTCGAGGCTAAAAGGGAACCTTTATTTTAAAATATCAGTAAAGGAAGGGAAGAAAGAAAACGGATAATAAACACATACGCAGCCAAGGAGTGGCCGGTTTAACAAATGTGACACTGACATGGGAGGAGTAATTGTAGAGACCCCTCCTCTGCAACGGAGGAGTAATAGTAGAGACTTCCACAATGAGTCTTACATGTGTGTTCAGCATGTATTTGACGTGGTCCAGAGAAAGGTTAATAGAAACGCTAATTTTCTCTTCGTGTCCAAAGAAAGGACTTGCCTGAGCTTTAGGCCCCAAAATGGAACTACGCTGTGACGCCTTTGGAATCGCAGGACTCTGCCTTTAAATTTCCACTGGATTCCATGTACCAGGCTGGGAGCTGGACCCCTCTGCACTTTGACCCAAACGCACGAGGCACTGACAGTCCAAACTCACTCCCCAGACAGAGGCTGGGTGCCTAGCCCTGACCTTGCCCCTCCCACAGCCTGATCCCCACACCACTCCCCCTATCTCAGACCCTGACACTCCAGGTCTCCCTCCCTCTACCCTCCTCCTCCTCCCCTTCTCCCTCCCTTATCACTTCCCCTCCCCCTCATCCTCCCACTACCCCATCCCTAGCCCTCCACCCCCTCTCCTTCCCCTAACCTTCTCTTATCCCTCCCCTCCTCTAGCCCTCCTCCCCCTCCCTCTCCCTCTCCCCTAACTCTTCTCCCTCTCCCCTAACTCTCCTCCCCATCCCCATCCCATAACTCTCCTCCCCCTCCCCCTCCCCTAACCCTACCCCCAGCCTCTCTGCATCTCCCACAACAATCTTGCTCACACTCCAGCCAAGCAGCAGGCTTAATTCTCACTGGCTACGGTTTTCTGCCAAATTAAAATTCCACCTTCTAAAGGCCAAGATGGGTCACCACTGTGACGTTTAGAAATAACTTGTTTCTGACATGACTCCCCGGTGGCCAGGCTCGAGATGTCCCCGCAAAGGCAGAGTCAGCAAGGAGGCAACCCCTAGTTCCAGCTTCCGCACCGCTGTGAGCGCGTCCACTCTGCTCACACCCGGCAAGTGTAACCGTGACAACTCAGTCCACGGCCCCCAAGCTCTTTTCCATCGGAGCCGTGGTCGGCAAACTCGGCTCACAAGCCACACACGTCTCTTTGGCCCCTGGAGTGTGGCTCTTCCACAAAATACCACGGCCTGGGCAAGTCTATTTTGAAGAAGTGGCATTAGAAGAAGTTTAAGTTTTAAAAAATTGGCTCTCAAAAGAAATCTCAATCGTTGTACTGTTGATATTTGGCTCTGTTGACTCATTAGTTTGCCGACCACTGCATTAGAGCATAAAGCATTCTGCATGTGCCCTCACCAGTTAAATGGATACATCAAAAATATAACAATGTCATTAAAGCACGAAAACTACTTGTTCATGTTCACTGAGATGTTGACCACATCAATTTATATTTTAAATGAATTAACTTAGGGAAGTAGGTGCTTCCGTTTCTCCAGAGAACTATGTGGATCTCGTCTCTGTGAGGCACAGGGAAAAGCTGAGCTGGCGGAAACCAGGGCCACGGACTTCAGCATCAGCCTGGCACTCCCCAACGCCGTCACCAGGCTCGGCTGCGGAGCTCGGCGGCAGCTCTGCCCGCTAAGAATCCCGGGGGCCCAGCAGCCTGTGTGGGCGCCAGGGGAGAGGCCTGGGCCCGCCGCTCCCCTAGCAGGGCCTACCTTGGTGGCAGAGTCCACGGCCGACCCTCTGCCCAGCAGCTCCTGCACCAGCCCCACGTGGCCCTCCTTGGCCGCCAGGTGGAGGGCGTTGAGTCCATTCTGCAAGAGAAGAGACGCCACAGGGGGTGAGAGGCCGCGGGTCCTGGGCCCCGGGGTCACTCTCTGAGCATCAGCTGGAAGCCGCTGAGTTCAGAGACCACGTTCCAGGGGTGTGATCCAGAGGCAAAGAAGTCATTGAAAAGGGGGATTCAGCAACATCATGTAAACAGACTTTTCTTTAAAAAACTAAGATATCCAAATCCTTTCTCACGAGAAGCGGGTGTGTGTGTGTGTGTGTGTGTGTCTCCACATCATTCACAGGCTGGCAGAAATAAACGTCTGCTCGGGCAGCTCACTCTGTAAGGCCTGGGGAGCAGAGTCCTCTTCATAAAGGACAGCGTCAGCTCACACCGCCCTGCAAAGCCATCTGTGCCTAAAGGACACTGAGCCTCTACTATGCCGCTCATGGGTCTTAGTCTCTTTTCAGCTTAAATGTATGTCGTCATCTCTGATGGTGCTGTCACGTCCCTCCCACCACCCAGGTTCCTAAGAACTTAGGGATCCCCCCCCCAGCACTCCGGAAACACAGGGACACCGCCCACACCACTCCCCTCCCACGCGCCACACGGTGTCCGAGGAGCCGGCTGCCCAGGCACACAGCTGGGGAGGGACAGAGTCCGGGCCTGGCTCCAGCACCGTTTCCAAGGTGACCTTCAGACATGCCTGAGCGCCGAGTCACGGCTGTGAGCAGGTGACCAGGCCACGGGGGGGCGCCTTCCCCTCAGGAGCACCCAGGCTCCTGGGAATGGGAGCACGGCCTCGCCGTCCAGCTCAGAAGAAGGAAAGCAGGACCTGGCGGGCCGCCTGCACCTTCACAGCCACAGGGAGAGGCCAGCTGAGCACCCAGACCCCAGGCCTGCGCCCCTTTCGTGTCAGACCCAGGACAGGCCCAACAGGACCGGGGACAGTGACCTCCGCATGGTCACTGTGGGCCCAGGCCGTGCTTCCCACCGTGACCACCGTCCAAACGTGGGCACCGGTCACCGGCTTCCCGTCCACGGCAACCACCTGCCACGGAAAGGCGGTGTGCCCCCACGCCTAACGCCAGCCTCACCATGCCAACCCGCTGGGAGCGACCACTGACTGAGCAGTGTGAAAGAAAAGAGCCACAAGCTAACCTGACAAGCTCAGGGAAGGCCTGCGTGGCAGTCTTGCAAACCCAGAGACTTAAGATAACCACAAAAGATGGTTTGAAAATTAAATATCTAACAGGTTATAGTAGGTAGTCATGTCCCAGATATTTCACCTGACAAAGATCAACTTTGATCTTTTACTGAGCCCCTATGCCTTCCTGCATCTAAGATAACATATCTGTGAGATGTCTGAGTAACTTCCTCAGGGCACAACAAATGGCCTCAAGACATTCCTCATTGTTATTGTTATCAAGTTAATTGTCAACTGTTAATTATGTTAGAGTATCCTGTATCCATCTCTGTGAAAGAAGCTCATGTCCATCATTTCACCTTTTACCCTATCCCAGAGGTTTCCCTGCTTCGCTCTGTCCCACCTCCCTAATCTATCACCAATGAATTTCATGTAACTCACCTACGTCCCCTTCCTTTGATAGCAATGTATAAATATAGAAATGTAACCCTCCATTCTCCGGAGCATTATCTCAATCCATTGAGGTTCTGCTTCCTGGCACGTGTCGACAGTTTTGGCTCAAATAAACTCACAAAAAAATTCTTTACAGGTTTCAATGTGTTTTGTTAACATTTCTTGGCGTAGTCGGCAGGATTCTAAAGATGCTCACCCAGGACCACCGTGCGGACTAGAACTCGGTGCTAGGATCCAGCAGGGGCCCATTGAGCCCCACCGGCTCCCCGCCATATCAGGTGAATTTGGGTGAGTTGTCTCTTGGATTCAGAACCTTCCCTTGTTTTGGTAGAGGGTTTGACTTTATTTGAGCTGTGTTTTAAAATCCTTGAGGTGTAACTAAGATTTAGGGTTAATAGAACCCAGGTTAAGGCAAGACTGGAGAAAAAACAGGTGGCTGGTTTTGATTTTGGCTTTTCAATTGGAATTGCTTTCTGAGAGTTTGAGCAAAAAAAAAAAAAAAAAAAAACCTTCACTAAACTTATGAGGGCTGAACTCGTTCAGCTCCGAAGATAAAGATTCTCGGGTGTTCTTAGGCGACTAAGAACCTTGTGGAGGTGTCAGAGGTCATCCCTCACCACGTGAAGGAGCCCCATAGGGAAATTCCAACTCAACTGTAATTAACTGACTGGCTCGTCTGGGGGAGCGCCTATAAGGCCTGGTAAGCCAGCGCCCCGGGTCCTTCTGGCTGTTTTAGACAGCCAGGAGGGAAACCGAGGCACGTAAGAAGGTTGAATTGCGACATGAGGGGTGACAGCCTCATGGAGCTCAACCCATAAGCAGTACACTTTGCAACCCACTACATGACACCCCTAGAAAGATTTGTTCAGACTCTGCAGATATTCAATAATAATAATAAATTTTAAAAGATGGGAAATTGCACCTCTGAGGTTGCTAAACCCCAAGCATCCCAGCCCCCTGTTAACACTCCAGCAGGATAGATGTACAATTCACACGGAATTTCAACTTGCAAGTATTTACAAAAATGGGAAAATTTAACTAAAAATGATACCAACTTGAAATGGCCTAAGTGAAGAACTTCTGACAGCCCCAAATTGATTTTTCTGCGCGCTCAATTAGAAAAAGCCGGCTCTAAAATTAAATTAAATGAATGGGAAGCCTATCTTGATTGGAAATTAGAGGCTTCTAGGAGAGGATTGGATAAAATATCTTCCCTACAAGACGTCAATAAGAAAATTTTGGAGACCATCCCTGAACTGAAGAAGGCCACTGAAGCAAGTAAGTGCCGAGACCCCACTCCTCCCCCCTCACTGCTCCTCCGCTATACCCTTTGCTGTCTGAGCTTCCTTGCACAGACTTGCCCTCCATCTCTCTTCCTCCTCCTCCTATATCTCCTCAACCACCATTCCCTGATGATGTAGGAAAAATTGAGAATACAGACTCAGAGAAAGATGATTCAAGAATTCTAACAGCTCCTTTCTGGGAAAAGCCTGTCTCAGGTAGAGGGGATCCAGCAATTATATATGTTCCTTGGACTAGAACAGAATTAAGAAACCTAGCTAAAGATTTTCCTGACCCTCTGCAGGACCCTGATGGGTCTGCAAAGGAATTTGATTTAACTGTTAGTACATATGATCCTGGCTATTCTGACCTGTTCCAATTAATACACCTACTGGTTTCTGAGAGCAAGGCAACAGAATGGTTGAATAAGGTTCGCTGGAATACTCCTGTAGATGATTTTTTAAAACAGAAAGACAGACAGAGAAAAATGCAGGGAATTGGCCCATCAGCTTTATCAAGCCATACCTGAAATTTTTCCTCGGAGAATGGACTGGACCAAGATCCAGCAATGTAAAAGAAAGCCTGATAAACCAGTGCTTGATTTCTTTCAACATTTTGAAAAGACTTTCAAATGATATTCAGGTCTGTCGCCAGACAGTTTCAAGGATCATTAAAATGATCCCTTACTAAATTTGGCATTTTTGGAAGGACTAGATGAAGAACTTGTAACTCTGATCAAACAACATAAATTGAACTGATGAACTGGTTCTTCTAGCTGATCAGCTATCTAAAACTATCCAAAAGAAAGAAAAAGATAAAGTTACCCAAATTATGAACTTACAGCTTCAACAATTAAGCAACCAAGCCAGTTCGACTCCGAAGTCTCTTAGAAAAGGAGAGAAAGGAGTCTGTTTTTACTGCAAAAAGCCAGGCCACCGTAAGAAAGACTGTAGAAAACTAAAATGGGATTTGAAAAGAGAAAACAGACAGAAGCAAGCATAGGGCTGCTCTGAGGACTATGAGAGGGTACTTCCACTTCTCCTTACTAATACTTTAGGAGAAATTGAAATTATCATAAAAGGAGAAGTTACTAAAGCCCTTGTGGATACTGGGGCCACTTTATCCGTTCTTAACCCTACCCATCTAAGTTCCCCTCTCCCTCAGAGCAAAGCTTCTGTACAAATGGTAGGGGTGTCTAACCAACCAATGACTGTTTTTAAGTCAGAACCCATCCCCTTTCAACTAGGGGATGCTACGGGGCAACATATAATCTTACTGGTCAAATTGGCCCCAATTCACCTGATAGGGAGAGATTTTCTTGAAACCCATGATGCTCATATATCTTTTTCCCAAAAGGGTGAAATGTATTTAGAACCAAATGAATCAGATACTGAACCAATTGGGAAAATAATGATTTTAAAGGAACTTTCACCAGAGGAAAATAATCTTGAAACTAAACGTTTGTTGCAAAAAGTTCCAATGCAACTTTGGGCTCTTTCCAGTACAGATATTGGCAATATTGAGTCAGCAACTCCTATTAAAATAACTATTGATAGTACTTTACCTAATATTCTCCAATATTCTCTAAGACATGATGCACTAGCTGGAATTAAGCCCATTATACAAAATTACTTAAAAAGAGGACTTATAATTCCATGTACAAGTCCCTGTAATTCTCCTATCTTTCCAGTAAAGAAACCAAATGGGAAAGGGTGGAGATTTGTGCAGGATCTCAGAGCTATAAATAGGATAGTTATTCCCCAACATCCTGTGGTTCCAAACCCACATACTTTATTGTCAACTATTCCTGAGGACTGCCAATATTTTTCAGTAATAGATTTATGTAGTGCTTTTTTCAGCATTCCAGTAGAAGAGGACAGTCAATACCTCTTTGCTTTCACTTGGAAAGATCAACAATTTACTTGGACTGTGATGCCCCAATGATATACAGAAAGTCCCACCTATTTCTCCCAGATATTAAAAGCTGATCTAAATGATGTTAAATTTCCTAGAGATTCCACTCTAATTCAGTATGTGGATGATTTACTTGTATGCTCTAGGACATTACTAGACTCTCAAAAGGACACAATTTACTTACTACAACAGCTATTGCTTAACCCGGAAAGACTTAGAGGAATCCTATCTTTCCCTCTTCCAAAAAC